TTATTTGTGCTGAAGACAAAAGAATGGCAGTGCTAAAGAAGACAGCATAGCTGATTCCCAAGAAGGGTACAGTTGAAATTGTCACAAGTTGACAAAAATAACACAACTTAGTTGATCCAAGCTGCATACAATGGGGTTATTACATTCAGTACCAGGGTAGAGCTCCTGGAAGGAGCTGTTATTCAATAGAGTACTTTAGGATGGAACTGGTACTTGAAGGTTTTCTTACTGTAGTTCCTAAATTCCAGTTGAAGTCCTTTGAAAGTCTATTATCCTGCAGTCTTCAGAATTCTGAACCCACTTTCTCCAACCTACCTTAGCCATGAAATTTGCTTCAAATAAGATAGGAAAATTCATAAGACATGAAAAATAAGCATTCCCAATTACTGAAAGCAAAGCATGGCTTCCATAATTAGAATAAGCCCTATCAACTGAAAACCTGCAGTACTTCTTTAAAAAGTCTCCTTTACCATCATGTGTGTTAGTAAACATATGGAATAACTATGCAAACCTAAAAGCAACTATGCACCCATGCCACCTTCTCCCAACTGACACACAGGCTTCTTTGGGAATATTTTTAAAACAGCCTCTGAAAGACTGCTCTGGGGTCGGCAGCAGCTTTTAGAATCTGCTTGCATTGCTTTTAAAGTCTGTCCCTCCATGTCTGCTGCTCTTTGTGTTGCTCTTGGGAGGGTCACAAACCAGATGCATTTCCCCTCACAAACAAGCGAAGCAGATGGCCCACAGAGTAATTCAAACTGCCACCGGTGACTGATCTATCTGTGTTGGTGGGCAGTCTCCCTTAGCCTGTGCTGAAGAATAAGCAAGACAGGCAGGCTTGGGGACTCTGAAAACCCAAATCCTCACCTCTCACTAGGAGCTTGAACCACATTGAGTCATGATGCAAAAACCATAACAAAATGCCCATAACTAAAGGATAAAATTCAACTGATCCTTTGAAATCAGTGTTTTTAAAGAGTACACTTGAAACAGAGTAAACCAGTTGAAAAGAGAAACCAAAGTTACTTGTGTTTTATTTAACTAGAGAGGAAAGAAAGACCTCTTAACTGTTAATTCATTTTGTTTGCATTCATTATGTTCAAACCACAACCTAATGAGCCTACTTGCCAAAAATATGGGAGGGTCTGGTTGCTATGAGATGTTAAATTCATATTCTTATAATGTTAAAATCACATTCCCTTGATGATTTCTAGTCAGAAGGTGTAATTCTAGTTTGCATGGAACAAGTGCTTTTAGCTCTAAGGTGTTAATACTGCAATTGAGGTCTTTCCAAGTATTGCTTAGAAGAAGACATTTGCAAATGCTTGCCTTAATTGCACAAAACACATTAATTTCAGATATTAACTTATTGATCATCTATGTACATATATCTATTATTACCATGGCTGTGAAATCATTTAAGAAACAGACAACTATTTAGAAACAGACTTCAGAATCAAATCACATCTAAACAGAAAAACATTTTATGATAGTTCAGATATTGGTAAGAAATCAAAGGAAAATCCATGTTTTTGATCACTCACCCTGAAGTATGCTGAAATTGAACATTTTAGACCCAAGTAACCAAAGATATATTGAAGAAAACTATAACATAGTACATATTGAGTTCATTTCAATCACAGTAGTCTATTTTAAAAACAAACTCCCAGAAGGGATATGGGAATGGAATCCATTCAAAGCAACAGCTGTCCAAAGTTCTGCCAAGAAATTCAGAGTAACTTATTGCATCATGAAAGGTGAGGTGTTCAGAAGAGCAAACAGTTCAATGATATTCTTTTCCTTCAGATTTTATTTTTAATCCAAGAGAAATTTCTAGATTGAAAACATGTTTTCATATTTTATGACTAATTAAGTCCATAAAATTCAACATGGTAAATAGGAAGAAAACCTTCTACTTTATTTTTATTATTGACAGAGGAGGACCTAACTTGGAATTGATAAAATTAGGCTGGCATCTCAACTCTACCACTAGCTATCCCTTTCTATGGATTCTTGGGCCAGGAACTGCTGGTTTGTAGGAACTCTGATTTCCTTATGTGCAAACCACAGGAGATGAGCACCAGTCCTGCCCAGATCTGACATTGTATTCTCCAGTGACATGCAGATGGGCACAGCTTTCACCTAAACTGACTCCTCTTGCAATTAGACCCAAGCACTTATACAACATTTGTAAAGAAGTTACTAAGGCAAATATCTGCCTTGATTTCAATATACACACCTGTGCCAGATAGTTACCACTTGGTTCATTTGGTTTTGCTTCAGGTCTGCCAAGTAGAGAGGTGGCAAAAGCAATATGCCACATACAAGATGTGTTGAGGGACCCAATAAGCCCACTACCAGCTTCTACTGTGCTTTCATCTGTGAGACTGGAGGATCCCAATGGGGAAGACTGCTGAATAACAAGGTAATTAAATCCCCATAAATGGGGGCAACATTAACCTTCTGTCTGTAGAATTCTGCCCAATAAGCTAGCCTAATTTGGGAGCAGTTGTTTACAAGAGGTATCAATAAGCCAGACTTGCTGAAAATCACATAAAGCTCACAGAAACATTATCAGGAATCATAACCCTAAATTAAAAGTGTGTATCCTAAGAAAACATAGAAATAAAGGATAAGCACTAGTTAGATGATAATAGTAGTGCATGTGTGTCTGTGTATATATACACGCAAAAATACTTAATCTTTTTAAAAAACCCACTTCTAAGCACTAATAAATTGTGGCCAAAATTAAGTCCAGCTAAGAAGACAGGGTACAGACATTACTGGTGTATGCTTTGATGAAATGCCTATCTTAAAATATTGATGATGGGCTGGGGATGTGGCTCAGTGGTAGAGCACATGCCTAGTATGCATGAGGCTCTGTGTTTGATCCCCAGCACACACACATTTTATATATACTAGAGAAACTTGGAAGGCTTTGATTGTCCAATGCAAGATTTTTCCTTTATGAAAACCAATCCAACTAAACAAAACCCCAACCTCCTAATCTGGCTCACTTTGTCATTTGTCATGGGGGAAAAACAGCATGTCAATATTTTAAAATGCATAGTATAAACTAACATTCCTTGGTTTATATGTCTGGTTGGTGGATATGAAGTGCTATCCCAAGTGACTGCACATGTACTGGAAGATTATGAGATAAAGTGCATATGCTAGTCTTTCCTGGATTGAATGCTGTGAAACACGTGCAATAAGAACATTGTTGATAAAATTTGTTGCAGCCTCCAGGTCTCAGCACATGGGGAAACAAGTTACCTAAAAATTTGCACTGACCCATTCATAATCTTAGGAAGGGTTTAAACTCACTTCCAACCCTTCCCCAAAAGAAAAAAAAAGGCAGCCAAATGAGAAAAAAAAAGGAAATAGAGAAATAGTTCAAGTTTCAGGACTTTCAAAATCCAATCACTTCAAAATCCTTAAATATGCATGGAATAGATTCAACAATTTGTTTTTCTTTGGAAAAAAAAACATCATCTGTTTGAGCCTTTCTCTTCTGCTGATAAGCTACTGATAAAGCTTGCCAGTGGAACAAGGAAATATTAGATAAATGCCTACTTTTGCTAAAAGCTCTCAGCTATGTTGAAATCAATGGCTTAATAATCCCAATATTGCAAACCTATCCAAAGCCATTTCAAATAGGACCCCAGGAACACCCTATCCCACTATCCAAAGAATGAGTAAATTAGCAAAATGCATAAGAGACATTACGTCTTGTTATAGAAGTCTCTCAAAGTGATGGTGAAATTGGCAAGCCCTGTGAGGGTCTGTGACCCTGAGGGGTTGGTCAATCCCCACTTTCAACTTGGCCTTTCAGAAGAACCAGCAGCTACCTAACTTTCTGTAGCATACAGGCTCCTGCAATTTGAACTTGTTATTCACACATACCACCTACCCTGGAGTCGGGTGAGCTCCTCTGAACTGGATATAAACCAATTACTTTCCAAGGGTATATTTTACAAAGAACCAAATAGTCATATAGCCAGTTGAGGACTACTTTCTTTCATTACTTCTTCATGTCCACTACTTTGATGATCCAGGTTAAAATAAAGACAAAAATAACTACCAGAGATTGTTGGGTTATTGCTAACCTTTTTCCTTTCCTCCCCAGTCTGGATACCTGGGTTCAAACAACAAAGGTTTATCAATCTGGCTTTTCATACTCGATGTGTGGTTTCCAAACTCATGCATTTACAGATATGCTGTCCCATGCAGGATAAAAGTAGAGATCTGGCAACTATATATTTAATTTGATAGGGCGAGGCAGTTAAAGTAGATTGCTCTTGCCCAGAATTTACATGAAAGAACTGAGTTATGTGAGCTATTTAACTTGGCCAGATTGGCCAAGTTAAATAGCTCATTGCCAAAATCTCCACTTCACAGAGGTGTAAAGACTCAATAAGTCTTTGACATTCAATAGAGAACAATAGTCATGTATTATTTATAGCTAGATATAACATCAAAATGGCACTAGACAAGCAATTTTGGCATATAGTGGTGGAGGGCATAGCGCCAGTCTAAATCTGATGCTTTTGTTTTATCTTAGCTTTTGTTTTTATTATCATCATGCCAAAGACTATCCACTTAGAATCCCAATTATTCAGGAAACCAACCTACTGCATGTGATATACATACAAAAATAAAACAAGCATCCCGAAGGTACTTGGTTATAAGGTTTTATACAAATCATAAATTCTTTAAATAAATAATGCTCTAAATTATTTGCTAAAAGACTGATTTTTGGTAAGGAGCAGCATCTAATACCTTGACAATGTATTTAAGAATGGGAGATAAATTCCACTAATAATTACAATTTCAAATGTGATAATCAGTTGAAGAATTTTTTCCACCACAGTAAAATACACAAGTGCAAGAGAAAAGGTCATATGGATTATATTCTGCTGCTCACACCTTTTGACACATTCAGACATCTATGACAAGTAGTTGGGCTCAAACATTCAAAAGAAAGATCTTGGCAGACAAGGTCACCCGCTATCACTTGAAACGTGGAGGTCACAACACAGTGACTGGACGAAGTTGTTCCAATTGGTTTTCCAATGCAATTCGTTCTTGGTGAACCTCCTGAGTAGTACAAAACAGGGAGAAGAAAAACAAAAATCAAATGGGTCATTTCCTGGGTTTATCTCTACTTTATCAAATATTCAAAGGAAACTTACAACTGGATCCACAAATACTTAAGTGTTGGAAGGGACCCGATTTAAAGCCGATGATTATACAAAGGGAGGCTTCACAATTTCTAATCTCTCAACTCCTTTCTGAAGATGATGATATGAAGCTCATGAACCCTTTTCCATTACCCCACTTTAGTCTTACCTTGTAGGATCAGGGTAGCAGAGAATGATATTAAAAATTAAAAGGCTAATTGGGAAAGACCAGAAGGCAAAAGCAGATTCGTAATACTGAAAGGTAAGCCACCCGAGCTAAATTTCTAGCTGCAATCTCTGGCTTCTAATCCAGCAACATAGTCAGGTCTGAGAGATGAAAAGGCACGCTCGCTGTTCATCTACCAAAGTTTTATCCAGGATCCTGCACAAAATATGCTTAATGTGAGACTTCTTGGTAATAGGCGGAAGAGAGAATTAGCAATCTTCTATTTGGGAAATCAAACTTTCAGGCCTAAAACAAATGTTTTTGAAGAGCGAAAGGGAGCACACATAGGCATTCTTAAGTCAAATTAGTCAAGGTGATAAAGAATTCTGTATAAAGGCTCAATTCTAAGTTGTTTCAAAAGAGCTAACACACTAGTAATTAGCACAGAGCACAAGTGTTTATCCAGATGATAGCTGGTTGTAGGAAGATTGGATAAGAACAAGCATTTCAAGGGCTGAGGTTGTGGCTCAGCGGTAGAGCAGTTACCTAGCATGTGCAGGGCCCTGGGTTCGATCCTCGGCCCCACATAAAAATAAATAAACAAAATAAAATTATCTGTCCATCTACAACTAAAAATAATATAAAAAATAGGCATTTCAAGCAGAGGCTAAAAATTAATTATCTCAGATGTATATTAGGTGTCTGGAAAGAAAAAGCGGAGTAAGAAACTCTATATGCATATTTAGAGCTTAGAGGAAAGAGAAGCAGACTTAATATGTAAGCATTAATATTTCACTATCTTATGGATGGTCTTCAGAGTCATGGGACAGTATAACATCATCTTGCAAAACAGGATAGAGATTTTCAGATAAAGGTTTGAAGACCACGCTATGCTAGGTCCATACTTACACCTTCCTGGAACTCCACTAAAGCAACACAGAACTTTTTAAAGTTATAAGAGTCATAAGACAGGGAAAACAAAAGAGAAGAAGAAATGATAGTAATAAAATATATAAGCTGATCAGGCAAAGAAACGAATGGTAAATGACTTAGCAAATATGGGGTGAGGTGAAGGGATATGGGAATTCTGCCAGCTGCTATGTACATCTATTCCAAGTATACATTCTAGGGTTGAGGAAATACCCACAGTGTGGGTTTGTAAATGCCCTGAACCTACTATGAGATAGACCTAAGCCAATCCTCACTGATGACTTGACCTCCATAAGCATCTGCTCTGATTGGTGGGTCATAGTAACAGTTGGTCTCCTAAAACTAGTGCCAGTTCAGAGCCAGTCATTCCCACAATACACAGCCACCCTAGTAAATGGCCACAGGTCCTTCTGGGAAAGGCTAGAAAATTAATAGTTTAAAATTTGAGCTGCATAGGGGAGCCCTTCATTAAGGAAACTCACATAGGTCATTTGTTCAAGGACCATTTGCATTTGTAAATTAGCTTGGTCAAGGAACTGACTGAGGGGCTATGACTAGAGCTCTTCTTCGGTGATTCTTCAAACATCTGTTCACTAGACCTAGAACTTTACTACACATACGGATCAAGTAAAGAGAGCTGAAACACAAGCTAAGCATATTGAAAAAATAAGAACCAATCAGATTTTACATAGAAGAGTCCCTGAAGGACTCCAACTGGCAGCACCAGATACCTATGAAAGTGGCAGTGAACAAGGGGAGGAGGACTGGCTAAAATAATTGTTGACTAGAAGTCTGTCTCGGAAGCAATTAGATTCCATGACGTTCCTGACACCAGAGAAGAGCACTGAAGATTTATTAACTAAAATGGTAAAACAGAACATCTGGACAAGCAAGAAATAGGCACAGGTGAGGAGAAAAGATGCTGAAGAGTAAATAAATATCCTGGATGCTGACATCCACAGCCCTACTGCTCCAATGAACCAGGTCTTTCCACCCACACAGGAGACCAAAAGATTGTCCTCTCTTGAGTCTCCCACTAGACCAAGAAGGAGCCAATGAAACTGCCTTTGCAGGTTCCCCAACTATATAATCTAACCAGGTCAAAGTTGACAAGTTCCCAATGTGCTGTGCATTTCCAAAACTATCATTACAAGAACACATCCTAATAGGGCTAGAAATGTAGCTCAGTGGTAGAGTGCTTGTTTAGCAGGTATGAAGTCCTGGGTTCAATTCCCAACACTGCAAAAAAATTGTATCATAATAATGAAAATTAAACAGAGAACAAAAAAATGAACTCCTTTTATTAAATAAAAGGAGATGTACAATTCACTGTGATATATTCATATATGTACATGGGATAGTTTGGTCAATTTCATTGTATCATTCTTCCCTCCCCCTCAATCTCCTCCTTTTATGTCACTGATCTCTAAAGAGTTCTTTATATAATCAGGATACAAGTTGTTTGTCAAATATGTGATTTGTAAATATTTGTAAATATTTTCTTTCCTTTTATTACTGAATAGTATTCCATTGAGTGAATATGCCATAACTTGGTTGTCAGTTCTATTCATGGGCATTTTGAAACTGTTTCTAAACTGGGTATGGCTGTAATCCCAGCAATTTGGGAGGCTGAGGCAGGAAAATCACAAGTTTGAGGCCAGCCTCAGTAATTCAGCAAGGTTCTAAGCAACTTGACAAGACCCTGTCTCCCAGTCTGTAGTTTGCCTCTTAATTCTTGACAGTGTTTTTGGTAGAGAAGTTCTTAATTTTTATGAAGGTAAATTTATTGTTTTTTTCTGATAGATTATGCTTTTTTTTAAAGAGAGAAAGATAATTTTTTAATATTTATTTTTTAGTTTTCAGTGGACACAACATCTTTTTATTTTATTTTTATGTGGTGCTGAGGATCGAACCCAGCACCCTGCGCATACCAGGTGAGCGAGCTACCGCTTGAGCCACATCCCCAGCCCAATAGATCATGCTTTTGATGTCATTTCTAACCTCAGGTCATAAGGACATTTTCCCTATGTTTTCTTCTAAAAGTTTTGTAGCTTTATGTTTAGCATTTACATCTATGACTCATTTTAAGTTAACCTTTGCATAGAGTTTGAGGCTTAGATCAAAGTTCATTGTTTACATATGAATAACCAATTGTTACAAAACATTCTGATGAAAGACTAGTCTTTCTCCTTGAGTTTATTTTGCATGTTTGTCAGAGATCAAAAGGCTGTAGGCATGTGGTCTATTTCAGGACCCTATCCTGTTTTATTGATCTATTCTCCAATCCTTCCACCACACCATCTTCCTAACTTGATGGTAAGTGATTCCTCTACTTTTGTTCTTCTTTTACAAATTTGTTTTAGCAATTCCAGTGCCTTGGCCCTTACAGCTTTTGGGTCAGCTTTCTGTATTCTCACAAAAAATCCTGCTGGGATCTTTATTGATATTGCAATGAATCCAAAGATCATTTGGGAGAAAAATGAAATCTTGACTATGTTGAATCTTCCAAATCCACATGCAAAATACGTCTCTACATTTATTTAGATCTTCTTATATTTCCTTGAGCAGTATTTTGTAGTTTTTAGCATACAATTCCTTGATAGACTTGCACCAAAGTATTTCACTTTGGGGAGGAGGCAAGCTATTATGCAATTATACTTTTTTAAATTTCTATTACCAATTTTTCCTGTACACAGGAATATTACTGATTTGGAGGGGTGCTGGTCTTCTACTCTGTGACTTTCATAAACTCAACTAGAAAATAAAATTTTAAAAAATTTAAATTTGCAATCATGTCAAAAATCTTTGGAATAAACTTGACAAGAAATCTATAAGACTGATATACTCAAAACTGAGAACATCTGAGAGGAATTTTAGAAGACCTAAATAATTGTGGAGATTACTCTGTTTACAGATTAGCAAACTCAAGATTATTTAGATGTCAAGTTTCCCTAAATTGATGTAGAGAATCAGTGCAAATCCCATCATAATCCTATCAGTTTTGACTTTGTAGAAACTGATATACCAACTCTAAAATTTCTGTGAAACAATGGGCTTACAATATCCAATGGAATCTTGAAAAGGAACAGTTTGGGGCTGGGGTTGTGGCTCAGTGATACAGTGCTGGCCTCGAATGTGCGAAGCCTTGGGTTCAATCCTCAGCACCACATAAAAATAAATAAGTAAAATAAAGGTATTGTGTCCAAATACAACTAAAAATTAAATATTTTAAAAAAAGAAAAGGAACAGTTTGATAAAAGAAAATCACCTAGTTTCAGGACTTAGTATAAGGCAACAGTAATCAAGAATGTGTGGTACTGGCATAAGGACCCAAAAATAAGTGAATGAGACAGAGTAAGAACTCAGAAATGAACCTACATGTATAAGGTCATTAGATTTTTGACAATGGCACTAAAGTAATCAAAAGAGGAAAGGAAGGTCGTTTCAACAAATAGTGCTGGATTAAACATTAAAATGGGGAAAACTGAACCTTGACCCTTATCTCACATCATAAACAAAACATAAATCAAGATGGATCAAAATCCTAAATGTAAATGGTAAAACAATAAAGCTGTTAGAAGAAAACAGAAGAATATCTTCATAATTTGGAGATAGACAAAGTATCTTAATATAGGAAGAAAGTAATAACTATTAAAAATGATAAATTTACACTTTATTAAAATTTAGAACTTATGCTCATGAAAAGATATAGTTAAGAAATCGGCAAAAGAAAGACTAGAAGAAAATATTCACAAAATTTATATCTAACAAATGACAGGTAACCAACATAGGTAAAAAGCTACTACCTACAACTCAACACCAAAAAAAAAAAAAACCAAAACTCAATTCAACAACTGACCAAAAGATACTTCATAAAACACAAAAGGTAGGACTGGGGTTGTGGCTCAGTGGTGGAGCGTTTGCCTCGCATGTGTGAAGCACCGGGTTCAATCCTCAGCACCACATAAAATAAATAAAGTGTTGTGTTTATCTAAAAAAAGTATATTAAAAAATATAAAATGTAACTGATCACACAGGAAAGTGATCCACATAATTAGTCATCAAGGAAATGATGATAAAAGTACATAACACAGACTAGCTAAAATTAAAAAGAATAACACCAAATACTGATAAAGATGTGGAACAACTGGAACTTTCATTCAGTAGTGATGGGAATGTCCAATGCTACAACTATATTGGAAAAAGGCCTAGTAGTTACCAATAAAACTAGTTGATCACATATACTTACCATAATAGCAACTAATCATAAACCTAGGAATTTACTCATGAGAAATGAGAACATACTTCCACACTAAAACTTGTTTAAAAATGTGTTTTTATTCAAAATTATCCTAACTGAAAATAGTTGCAGCACTTTTTCCTTTGTGTGTGTGTGTGTGTGTGTGTGTGTGTGTGTGTGTGTGTTGTTTTGTACCGGGGATTGAACCCAGGGGCACTTAACCACTAAGTCACATCTCCAGGCCTTTATTTTTTATTTTGAGACAGGGTCTTGCCAAGTTGCTTAGGACCTTGCTAAACTGCTAAGGCTGGCTTCAAACTTGTGATTCTCCTGTCTCAGCCTCCCAAATTGCTGGGATTACAGGCATGTGCCACCATTCCCAGCTTAGAAACAGTTTAAAATGCCCATGAAGAGAACTGACAACCAAGTTATGTCATATTCATTCAATGGAATACTATTCAGTAATAAAAAGTACTGATATACACAGAATAAACGAATCTCAAAAATATAATACCAAGTGAAAGAAGCTTTCCATCAAAGTGTGTTTTAGGGTACCATTTACACAAAGTTATAGAACATGCAAAACTACGGTATAAAAATTTCAGAATAGAGGTTGCCTGTGTGTGGCTGGGCTAGGAACTGACAGAGAAGGACACAAGAAAGCTTCATGGAGTGATGGTAATGTTCTCTCATTTGACAAGATTTTGGGTTCCAAGATACATACATTGAATAAATGTAACACCCCAGATCAGTAAAGATTGGTACATTCACTGTATGTAAATTTTACATCATAAGAAAAACCTATAAAAATAGTGAACTCTAGCTAACAATGTATGAGCTAAAATATTTAGAACTACTCATATGTCTGAAATTCATCTGAATATATGTAAAAATAATATGAATTAATGGAGAGAAGTGATAGATAAATGGAGGTGTACATAGACTATAATAAAAAGTGGCAGAACTAAAGTAGTGGCTATGTGAGTGTGCATCGTAGGACTCTTTCAACTTTCCTACACATTTGAAAATTTTTGTAATGAAAAATTTTAGCAAGGGAGGTGCATGTAAAAGAGAAATCACAGAAGGAAGAGACAGCAAAGGAGAAAGGAAAAAGCACCAGTGGAGTAGAAGGAAAACCAGGAAAGTATGGTAGCTCAAAATCTGGTTAGAAAAGTGATTTCTAAGGAAGAAATGGTTAGTTCTGTATATTCTTCTGAAAATTCAAATTATATGAAAGCAAGCCTATTGGGTTTGGCCATAAGAGGGCTATGAATGTAGCAAAACAAAGCCATACTAAAGTAGAGGGGAGAGAAAACCATTGGTGGGGAAGTGAAGACAGTGAATAGAAACAATTTCTAAGAAACTCTGCTGTGAAGGGGACCAGAGAAATGGGGCAGTAATCAGTCAAGGGCAATGGGCAACACTGGAACACATTTATGGGTGAATAGGGAATGATCCAGTAGAGAATCTTGTCTCACCAAAATATAAATTCAAGTAGTGGCTATGTGAGTGTGCAGTACCTGTAAATGTGACCCGATTTGCAAATAGGATCTTTGCAGATGTAATCAAGTTAAAAATGAGGTCATACTATATTATGATGGGCCCTAATCCAATGAACAGTGTCCTTAAAAGAAGGATACAATAAGAAGAGTAATTTGGACAATTACACATAGAGACCCAGGAAGAATTCCATGTGACAGTAGAGGCAGAAATTGGGAGTGTTGTGTCTATAGGCCAAGGACTGCCAAGGACTACAAGAAACTACCAGAAGCTAGGAAGAGGAAAGGAATAATTCTCTCCTGGAGCCTTCAAAGAGAGCATGACTCTGACAACACTCAGGTTTCTAGCCTCCAGACCTGCAAGAGAGGAAATTTCTATAGTTTTAAGCCACTGAATTCGTAACACTTTGTTATGGGAAACTAACGCAGAAGAGATTAATAATGAAGAGAAATAGGTGATGATAAGAATTGCACTGATGTCCTTGAGAAGGTGAGATGGAACCATTTTCATGGTACCAGGAGAGGGGTTGCCCTTTGATAGTGTACCCAGGTCACTTCCTTTGAAAGAAGTCAATGCATCACCTTTCAGAGAGGATTTTAACAATTAAGCACTAACTCCAAAGCTTTGGACAACAAATGCTTCAAAAAGACTTTGATAGATTTATCTTTCCTTTTAACACACATAATATACAGCCTACCTATAAAATTTGCTAGTCCCTCCAAGCATGAAAGAACAGAGGCAACTCTTACCAAGAGGGATGGACAGCCAGGGGTCAACACAAAGCAAAATAAAAAATCCAGGGAAGAGCCTGGTAATCCAAATCTTGGAAACATTCCTTACCTTAAGCTGCTGTTGGAGTTCACTGTTCAACCGAGCCAGCACTGCATTTGCCTCCTTATTTTTACGGATAGCAGTTTGAATGGCCTTCTTCTGTTTGGAAGACTGCCTATAGAAAAGTACAAACATTTTGGTGAAAAGAGCTTACAGGTCTGGACCCTCGCAGGTCAGAACTCTGATCTATGAGAGGTGCCACACTAACGAGGGTTAACATCACAGGACTCCAAAAATAAAACCCCATATTCACAGGCAGGCACCAAATGAAACAAATTTGTCGGGATGAATTATTTACACCTGAAATAATTCCCATTTTATAACTTGAATAAAAGCTGTGAATTGGGCCTTTACAAACATTGGTGTTCCATTTATTCTGGACATTTTAATAGGCATTTCTTCTAACAAACCTTATTTATTCGAATGTCCTTTTGTGTAAGGATTAATGACATTTAAAAGACCTGCAGTTGGCCTCTTTGGACAAGCCTGAAGGAAAATAATAGAAGAATATTTTCTTTAGCTGCCTAACTTTCCATTATTTCTTTGTTAATGGATACTGGAGTGGGGGTGGGGTGTCCATGTGCATGCACCAGCATGGATCTGTGGCAATTGAGAAAAAAAATCAGAATATTTTAATATCCCTGAGTTAATTCAATAGTAAATTAAGAGAAAAGGTGTGTACTACTTTGCACATTAAAGTCTCTGGTTAACCTCTTTGGTAACAGGTCATTTTACTACCATCTTTACCTCTTAAAACTGCTCATGGTTAGGAAGATACATCAACATGGTCATCACAGGCATAACCTACAACATTTTATCCCATAGCAAAAAAATACAAAATTTTTAGAGCAAAAGGGTGATTTCTATTTCCTTAGAAAAACACCTATTTGTAATTAATGAGAGAAGGATTCCAGGTTGGAGCAACTGAAGTAGAATGGTCTGTGACCACTATACAGGTAAAATTAACATTTAGTGAGGATACAGAGTATGCTAGCCACTCTGTTTATCATAGAAGACATAACATGTCCCTAGTAAGTTCAGAATTAAAGATTACTTTCTTCATCCATAGAGAGGCAAGAAGAAGCTTCAAATCTGCTTTTTAAAAATATAGATTAAGCAATCTATTAGAAGGGAATAGGGGCTGGGGAAAGGGAAGGGGAAGGAGAGGTACTGGGGCCCTAATTAGAAAGATATATTCCATGCTTGTATAATTACATCAAAATGGAGTCTATTGTCATGTATAACTAAAAAGAACCAATAAAATTTTTTTAAGTTTAATGTAAGGAAGGTTGAGGTAACCATTATTCTACTCTCTACTTACATGGCATTATTAAATTTCACAAGTGAATGAGAAAAATATATTTATAGATTAGATTTCTAGGTCCAGGAGAAGATGCAGTGAACACATTTCTCTCTATTCTTCCTGCTAAGTACAGTGAAATCTCTGGACAATATATAAAAATAAACATAAGATAACTCTAAAAGATGGAATAAAGAGGTAAACCAGAAAGAGAACTCAATACCCAAGGAAACACACAGTAGTGAATTCTCTGGGTTTTCTTTTGCATCTTATATCCCAGACTGGATACTGTAGAAGTTGGCAGTACATATATACCAGTGAGATCAGACAAAAAGGCTCCCCCTCAAAAAACTCTGTTTTCTCTAGCCAAAAGAACTGGAAAGGGGTAGCCAAGTAATATAGAGAACTTCTAGACAATAACTACTCTACTACAATCAAATACCACAAAAAAATTAAAATTCCCAAATCCCATCTTCATCAGCGAAGGCCAAGTGGGATGGCTAGACTTCCTCCTCTGGGTACCCTCCAAGGTGGTGTTGCATCCGAGAATGTCAAGTAGGAAGTCAGGACCTTTACTCCTTTCTAGTGGGAAAGAACCTTCTTCTCACTGTGGAGGCCACATAAGGAGCAATAACCAAACACCACTCCCCTTCTCAGCCAGGATGGTATCAGTGGAGGTCTAGTGGGAAGCCTGAAGTACCACTCCCATTCAGCAATAACAATGCACCCTTCCATCCTCCATGGTGTAAATGGAAGTCAAGTAGGAAAGCACAATTAAATAGAATATTTTAATAAGATTCAGAGTTTCATTATATAATACCCCAAATGTCTAGGATACAATAAAAAATCTTTATCAAATGAAGAAACAGAAAATCGTAATGTGATGAGAAAACACAACAGATGCCAACACCTAGATAATGCAGATATGAAATTACCTAATTAAGATTTTAGTTTAGCCATTATAAAAAATGTTTCAATTGACAAATACAAGCATATCTAAAACAAATAAAAATAGAAAATTTCAGAAAAGAAATAGAAGATATAAAGAAGATTATAGGCACATGCCTATAATCCCAGCAACTGGGGAGGCTGAGACAGAAAGATTACAAGTTCAAAGCCAGCCTCAGCAACTTAGCAAGACTTGCAACAACTTAACAAGATCTTTTCTCAAAATTTAAAAATGGGCAGAGATTCAACTCAGTAGTAAAGTGCCCCTGGGTTCAATCTTGGTATCAATCAGAAAAGAAAAACACAATGAATGTTTCCTCTGACACTATGCCAGTGAAGGAAGAGTATTGCCATCTTGTTTTTTCCAGGTGAGGATGGAAGTCCAGTTTCCCTATTTTACTTCCATTTACACCATTGGGAATGGAGGGGTACATTATCAATGAAAAATATAACATCTGAAATTAAAACCTCAATTAATGGGCTCAACTGCTGAATAGAGAAGACAAAAATCAGTGAATTTGAAGACACAAATTAACAAACTGAACAGAGAGACTAGGCTGGAAAGAAAACTGAACACAGCTTCAAGGACCTATAAGAGAATAAGATCTAGTATTTGCCTCAATGAACTTCCAGGAGAGAAGAGAGAAAGATGAAAAAGCATCTGAAGAAATGATAGTTGAAAATTTCTCAAATTTGGCAAAAGACATAAGACTATAAATTTAAGAAACTGAAAACCCAAACAGCCTAAATTATAATTAAACTTTTAAAAATTAAGACAAAGAAAAAATTCTTGAAAGCAACAAGAAATGATAACCTTATCTATAAGGGTACAATTCAAATGACAGCAGATTTTTAACCAGACACCATGATGGCCAGAAGGAAATGACACACTTTTCAAGTTCAAAAGCAAAAAACTATCAGCCTAGAACTCTATATCCAATAAAAATAAATTTTAGGAATTAAAGGAAAACCAAAACATTTTTAGATGAAGGTAAGTAAATATACTGCCAGTAGATCTACCCGAAAAGAACAGCCAAAAGAAACTGCTAAAACAAAAAACTGATGTAGGAATCTTAGAACATGAGGAACAAAGAATGAACAACAAAAAAGGTAAATATAATAATACTTCCCTTCCCTTCTTTTGTATAATTTGAAAACTTAAATGAAGGAGACCAACTGCTTCAAAAGCGCAAATTACCAGAACTCACCCATTATTCCACATTGCTTTTGAAAATTTTCTGAAATTTTCAAATTTCATTTTAAAAATTTACTTTTTAAAAACTCCCCCCAAAATAAATCTCTAAGCCCTGACAGTTTCACTGGAGAACTATGAAAAAAAAAATTTTTTTGGGGGGGGGGAACTGGGGATTGAACTCAGGGGCACTCAACCACTGAGCCACATCCGCAGCCCTTTTTGTATTTTATTTAGAGACAGGGTCTTGCTGAGTTACTTAGCGCCTCACTTTTGCTGAGGCTGGCTTTGAACTCACCATCCTCCTGCCCCAGTCTCCAGAGCTGCTGGGATTACAGGCATGCACCACCAAGCCTGGCCCCAAATTCTTAAAAAAGAAAGAGTGCCAATTCTGCACCATCTCAACCACAGAAGAGAACATTTCCCAGCTCATTTTATGAGGTTACTATCACTAATACCAAAAGTAGACAAAGACAGCACAAAAAGGAAATTAAGCACAGTATCCTGATGAATATAGATGCAAAAAAACTTTCACAATTTATTAGCAAAAATAATTCAGCAATATATAAAAAGAAGTATACACCAAGTGCAAAGAAAGTTCATTCCAGGAATGGAAGAATGATCCCATATTCAAAAATTAATCAATATAACCCACTATTTTATTTTTAATTGATAAATGAAAATATAAAAATTGTACATATTTATGGGGTACCATGTGTTATTTCAACACATGTGCACATTGTGTTGTAATCCTCCATCTTAAGCTATAAAAAGAAAAATGACCATATCAACTGACACAAAAAAAGCACTTGATAGAACCCAACACCCACTCATGATAGAAACTCTTAGAAAATGATAGAGAGGTGAACTTCCTCAATTTGATGAAAAATATTTGCAACAAATAACAGCTGACACCACAGTTAATGAAAAACTGCTTTCCCTCTAATATTGGGAACAAAGCAAATATGTCTACACTCATCACTATTTTTCAACATAGTTCTAGAAGTCCTGACCAGCATAGTAAGTCAGAAAAGGAAAAAAAGAAAAGAAAAAGAAAAGGAAATAAAAGGTACATATATTAGAAAGAAAGAAATGAAACAGTCCTTGTTTGCAGAAAACATAATGTTCTATGCAGAAAATTGCAAGGAATCCACAAAAAAGACTGAAACTAATAAGTGATTTCAGCAAGTACAGAAGTATGTTTGCAAGACAGAAGATTAGCATATGAAATTCAATAGTACTTCTATATTCTAACAATGAACATTTGGGAACCAGAATTTATAAAATGACTATCATTTACAAAGATGCCAAATGAGATGATTACATATAAATATAACAAAACATGTATAGAACTTGCATGCTAAAAACTATATATATAAAATAGTGATGAAAGAAATCAAATGGTATCTAAACAAATGGAGACACATATGCTTATAGATTGTAAGACTCAACATAGTAAGGATGTTAATACCAAATTGATACACAGGCTTAAGGCAATTTCTATCAAAATCCCAGTAACATTTTTTGTAGTTCAAGACAAAAGTATTTAAATATTTATATACAAAGTTAAAAGCATTGGAATAATTTAAAATATTTCAAAAATAGTTATAAAAGTGGGAGAAATTTAACATATTATATCCTTACAGTATCAAGTAATCATGTAATGGAGATACTC